AACGCCCAGGCAGAGATGCCCCGAGGCTGCAGCCCCGCTCCTGCTGCTGCTACAGGCCGCGGGCAGGCGTTGGTTGCCCTCTGGGCCCCACGGCCTCGCGGGGCTGGTGGGGCTCCGGTCTAGGTCTCGCCACCGGAGGCGCAGGCCCTGACCAATGCCTGGTCTGGCCTGGCCCTGGCGAGGGGCCGCACGCTGCCTCGCACACCCACACAGGCTGCTGTCGCCACACCGCGGGTACGGGCCTCTGAGGCCCGGGGAGGTCAGCCCGCGCGCGGAGGGCGGGCAGCCATGCAGTGGGACCCAGACAGGCTGGAGACAACAGGAACCCCATGAAATTCAGGATGAAGGGGAAAGTCAGCAATGACAGAGGCTGGAGCTGGAGAGGCTCTGCAAGGAAGGCCCTGGGGGCCTGGCGGGCACAGCCCTGGGCCCTCGTGGCAGTGAGGGCTCTGCGAACAGGCACAGTTGGGAGGTGGAGGGAAGGAGCTGTTCCCCCCAGCACAGTGCTTGTCAGACTGCATCTAGGTACTGCGTCCAGTTCAAGAAGGATGTTGATAAACCAGCGTGATAAACTGCCGAAGGAGGGCAGCAAGTGAGGAAAGGGCCAGGTTGATTCCTCTGCTCTGCACCCTCAGACCTCGGTTGTCCGTGTCCCGGGGTGATGCATGCTCTGAACCACGCGACACTGGGACTGGAGAGCCAACAGACCTTCTCCTCTTCTTAAGCTATTTGACACTTCAAACCACATTTTTCTTGATATCTTTTAGTTTTCCTAAAGATGCATTCTTATCTTCTCATGCATTGTTACCTAGTTTGTTTTTTCTGTTTGTGAAAAAGTCTTTTTGTTTGTAATCATCACTTCTGTCCTCCTCCTAAACAAGTCTGCAACAGACCAAAGGCATCTTATCTCACAAATTCAGAACCTGGAAATCAGATTTCCCCCCCAAAATCAGGTTTGTCTTAACAAACCTATCAATAATGAAAAGTGTGAGTTCTTGGGTTGGTTAATGTCCTGTTTTTCCTACAGACACTGTACGAGGAATGACATCAGCATTGCATACTCATGTTGGTTGCTATAAATCATGATGTATTTCTAACAAATCAAGAACATTTTGCTGAAGGAAACTCAGATGTGTGGTAGATTGGTCACGACCTCACGCTGATGTTGCTGCCTTTTCTTCTTTGGCAGCACAAGGTGTTATGTGATTCATGGACAGAAAAATTTAATTTAAAAAATGGCTGCTATCTAATTTTCTCCTGCTAAATTGTTCGAAATGTTTTTAATGAAATGCTTTTCCAAAACATTTTTAATGAAATGCTTTTCACCTTGAAAGAATTGTGGACAGGGACAACAATTAGTGTTTGTCTAATCTGGTATAATAAAACACCAATTTTGTTAATAGTCTAAGGAAAATACAGAACA